TCTCTCTCTCTCTCTCTCTCTCTCTCTCTCTCTCTCTCTCGATGACCTTAATGGATACGTGGTATAGCGCTTACAAGAGTAATGCTCGCGAAAGGTGCTCTCGCATTAGTTTTACAGCAACGCGCCATTACTGTCATCGTGCCGACGCGAAGGACGAAGTGCACAAATGCCTTTCTTAATGGCCGCAATGAGGTACTTGCGACCTGCAGATTTCACAATCGCACTCGCGGCATGACAATCAGACACGGGGAGTGAATTGCGTCGGCACGCGTAATCGCCGACTTATCGGCTATGTGCCGCTGCTTAGACACGGGAATCGAATTAGAAAACTAATAAGAATGTAAGAGGAAACTCAAATTCCGTGCCACTAGAGTCAGAGTGATGAAAATGCTATTAAAGTAAAAAGAAGATATCTATATATAATGAAAAAATATGCAAAGTGACTGGATTTAGGCATCCGAGCGTTCATATGCAAACGAAACTCGTTAAATTCAATTATTAATTAGCTGTAGTTATGCAAGAATGATTCACAACTCACATGGAGCTTTTTTCCCACTCCTAGTAGAGAATACTTCTCATTCACGTCATCCCAAAAAATTGCGGACAAATCAATCAGGAATCATCACGCTTTGTCCCATAACTCTGATTAGAGGAACTTTAACTTGATATTTATATCGAGCCGAAGCCTGACATCGACGCCGCAGCTTCAAGATCCATCTACAATAGAATTAGCGATAGACAATAAGACATAAGCAGTAAATAAATTGAGTAATCAGCAACCACGATTATTCTTATAATCCCATAGATGGACCTTTAAGGGGATATCGGACATGAAAACTTTACCGACATAACATTGACTTTTTTCTGCAAAGTTTACGTCTTGTTGCACAGAATTACAAACGCTTTTATACAACAAAAGTGCATGCAAAAGTAAATTGGAGCATTGCTCAATATGTGACGAAAACGAAAAAATATGTTTAAATTTATTTAAAAAATATGTTTAAATTTAAATTTTGAGCTGTCAGTTAGTGCAATATTTGTTTAATATAAACATTCTGCAGATTGTACATACCGAAACTGTAGATGTTCCAATCAGGAAAATTTCAAAGAACACTTTCAGAATTTAGTTTCGATGCCAAAAAAGATACGAAAAATTTGCAGAAAAGTTTATGATTACATGCGGTTAGGTTTTCTGACAACTATCATAAAGTAGAGCGAAAAATTAGTTCACGGATATTTTTCGAGATGACACCGTACTTTTATCGCACTTTTTACCACGGCGGAATATTCAGAGTATATATATATATATATATATATATATATATATATATA